CTGAGGAGGCCGGCCCTGTGCCGACCATGAGGTTCTCTCAGGGTGACCCTGGGGCTGAGAGGGGCCGATTATTTGGCAAGACCATCGTGAAGGACCTCAGAGGTTTGCCTTACAAACCAGGTCTTCTCAGGAAATCTCTCTTCTGAAATATTCCTTGTCCAAGGCTAACCAGGCTGATGAGTCCTGGCCTTTAATCTGTTTAACCATCATCGAACATCCCAAGCAGAGGGGGGCAGGGAGCAGGTACAGTGACACCCAGAGTGGTGCTCTGCTGCCCTGCTCGGTAGTAATGCCCAGACGGGCCAGGTGGGGCCCCCCCAGGGAATGGGCCCTCACACAGTGAGCAGCCAGAGACATGCAGGAGGGAGCCACGCGGGGCTGGTCCCTCCCACAGGGCTGTCCCAAGAGGCGAAGGAATTCGAGGCAAAGGAGAAAGGGCGGGGCGGTGCTCGTGGGGTCTTGGGCAGCCTAGTTTGTTCCTTTTTGTGAAATGTTTTCCAGAGATAGAGACCACAAATGTTAAATTCTGTTGAGTTCAACTTACAGGGTTCCAGGCCTAAATGACCATCCTATCACTTTTCTGGAAAAGGAGGCTCTGTGCCCGGCAGATGTGTGTGCACACCTGCCAGCCACTTCCCCCATGCACTAACTGTCCTGCTGTTTGCTCATGCCAGCCAAAACCCGGGCAGCGGACTTACTGGTGAATCCCCTGGATCCACGGAACGCCGATAAAATTAGAGTTAAAATTGCTGACCTGGGAAATGCTTGTTGGGTGGTAAGTAGAATTTTCTTTCTAAAACATTTGGTTGTGGCCATGTAGAAGACACGCTGTTTTCCTTTTTTATGTGTCCTCCCTGGTAATGCAGTCTGTTCCCTTTCAGCACAAACACTTCACAGAAGACATCCAGACACGTCAGTACAGATCCATAGAGGTTTTAATAGGAGCAGGTTACAGCACCCCTGCTGACATCTGGAGCACGGCCTGTATGGTAAGAGCGGCGTAGGGCGCGGCCACTTTCCTCCCTGTAGAGGCTCATCACCCGGGTGCCCGTGACGGGCAGGGTCTCGCTGGTGCTGCCGTCCGCAGCGTCCTGACCATGAAGGTTGTCCACTGTGGGCGGGGGAGGGGCAGGCTGCTGCCTTAAGTGTCCTAAGGATTGGAAGAACTCTTCTCGGGCACGTCCTGGGCGTGGGCTGGGTTGGGTCTGGCCTTGTGAGAGGTGTCCTCTCAGGACCCTGGGCAGCCAGCCCTGAGAATCGGACCTGCACTGTGGTGGCAGCAACTTCAGCTAATCCCTCTGGTTGCTGGGAGCCTGCAGGTTGTCTGCAGCCTCATGCTTCACTCACACTGTGGCCCAGGGGATGATTTTCTGAGTGTGGAGGCCCCTGGCCGACCCTATCTCCTTCCTGGAGAGGAAGGTCACCCATCTACCAGTGTTTTGTCTCTCTTTTTTATAAAGTCAAATCTAGAGAATGTCCTGGCTTCTGGTTCAGGGCTGTCCATTCGCTTCGGAGACAGCAGTAGCTGCACACGCTCCTGAGACCGGGTCTTCCGTGGGGACACGGTGAGGTTGTCCTCGGGCCTCAGGTGTCTCCTCTTCCACCCGGTGTCCTGTCCTTTCCCGCTGCCCGTCTTGTGTGTTAGGAGTTTAGTGGTGTCTAAGCTCCCCAGGCCCCACAGGGCATCTCTTTCTCACTCCTTACCTGTGAACTGATGAACGTGAACGGTCCGTTGTCCATAAGCCGGTTTCGGTTTCTCTTTCTTGGCCCTCTCTCCTGGCCAGGTCAGCACCTTCCTCGTGGCTGTACTGGGGAGTCCTGTGTGGGAAATGGAGTGTGTGTGTGTTGATTAGAGTGGTGGTTCATGCTTTCCTTATTTCATATTCTCCCCCTCACCCTCCAATTCTCCTCTGACCTTGAAATGCAAGGGCATGTGTGCAAAGCTAGGCACTTGCCTCATTGAAAAAATGCTGAATAATTAGATTTACTGTTATTCAAAGGTGAATGTAACAGTTGAGTTTATTGGATTATTTGTTACCGCTGCAGCAAAAGCATTGTTAATAGCACTAAAACGATATGAAAAACGTAGATGTTTCAGGTTAGCATGATCTGAGGCAACAGATATGGCAAACAGAACTGAAACTGTGCCTTTCTATTCCCACGTGGCTCTGATGGATATTTCCAGATAATTCTGAAAATTGAGTTTCTCAGTAAGTGTCAAAAACTAAGGCGTTGCTGTGACTGGGTATGGAAAAGAACGGTTAAAAGACTTGGTGGAAATGTGGTGGTTCCTTTGAAGCTCGAGATGGTCTGTGTGGCTCTGGAGGGCAGGCGGGGGCAGGCCTTGCTTGTCCCAGCAGCACAGAAGGGGCCACGTCAGAGCCGCCCTGAATAGACTCTGAGAACTTTTTTAACTCTGATATCCTGTGCTTCTAATTTTGGATGTTAAATGTTGGTGATATAACCAGAAAAATAGGACAAGATCACAGATATGGCAGAATAATGGCAGAGCAGGCAGTACAGGCCATACCAGGGTGTCTGTGTTCCCTCCATTAGAGAAGAATGGGCCTGTCCACACAGTCTCCTGCCCGCTGACTCCTGCTGCTGCTGCTGCTGCTGCTGTAAATGGTGGGGCAGACTTCAGCCACTCCTGGGGAAGAGCATTCACTCGTCTCCTTCAGCAGCTCTCGCCCCGACCCTCTCACCCCTCCTTTCCAATAAATTAAACATACACTCCCTCAGCACTTCTAGGGCCACTTATGAGGGTTTGAAAAATTTTGCCAATGGTGATTTTTCTAGGAGTTGCAGTCTTCACCCCCCACCCCACCTCTTTTCCCCGAAGGTCATGACTGAGAGCTCCCTTAATTCCAAGCTGCCTTAAGCTCCAGCATTCCTGGAGGAGAAGCCCAGAGTCCTCTGGGTGTTAGGTGGCACCAAGCTCTGCGGAGACTGCAGTGGGGATGGCGCTCCTGCACGGTGGCCGCACCATCCTGCTCATGAGCCCTCAGGAAAGGACAGCACAGTGAGGCGCAGCCGCTGGAGGTGATCAGGTGTAAGTGCATGGACCTGTCACACTGTGCGGGTCGAGGCGTGGCTCCTCTGTACCGGTCAGAGCCCCCGAATAGGTAGCTTTGTGTGGACGCCATGGTGAGTTTGAGTCTGTGCTCTAGAAACAAGAAAAGCCATCGGACAGATTTCACCAAACCTCTTTAGCATTGGTCACATGGCAGAACTAACAGGTGTCCTTACCTATTCAGAATGGGGCACTTGGGTATAAGGGGCGTTTCAGGAAAGAGATCTCCCTAGAATCTGAGAACAGAGGTTGGTCCAAGGGAGGCCCTCTGAGGCATCAGGCCACATACAGAGGAAGAATCCAAAGTTCCCAGTGACTGAAAATAAATAATTATGAAGGTTGTGTTGGGAGTCACTTAATGCATCGAAGGCAGAAGCCTCATGGTTTCATAGCTACCGGCAGGTAAGGAAGTCGCAAAGTCCAGATGTCGACGTTTTCTTGGTCGCGTGTGTTTGCCCTGTTGTGCATGTCTTGTTTGTTAAGAAAAGCTCGTCACTCTCCAGAGAACCAGGCCAGATAACATGAGGAGCCCCTCTTCCTTTCCTCTTGTGAACCATTTCTTCAGTAGGCTTCTTTGACTTAAGGATTTCCTTGGAAACATGTGGGTGCTATCAAATAGCCATCTTTCCAAGCACACTCAGTGGATATACCCCAGTGTTAGGCTGCACGCAGTGCACACAGCTGGGTTGAAATATTTTTGGAAATTAGTTACAAAAGTGAGGACCTAAGGGAGGGCCAGGGGCAGCTGGCACTCTCCTTGGAGCTCCCATCTGCAGCCTCGTGGGTCTTTCCTGTGAGGGCTTCACCACTCCCTCTGGGTTTGTAAGGCATTGAATTGATTGTGTCCTAGTCTTCCCCGAGTAAGGCCATTCAGTGTGAAATCCAATTGTTCCTCTTGGGACTTGAGGCCAAATGTGAGGTTTTGTGTCCTGACCTGGGATTGGTTGTTTACTGGCTGGAGAGGAGAGGCCCCATCCTCGGGCACTGCAGCGCTGGGGCAACACCGTACTCCAGGTCCTGCTCAGACCCAGAGCTAGTTTGGTCAGGGACCCCAAGCTCATGAACTAGCGGTCCTGGGCTGAGTAGGCCAAACTGTGGTTTTGAGCGCCGGGAGAGATGCCCCAGCCGCAGGCTGACAAGTCTTCCCCAGGTTGCCTTCCCCATGGTGTGGTCATTGCCCCGAGAAGATGGGTCAATGCAGTTGGCAGCTCATTGAAGGGGGAGTGGGGAGGGCAGTGCCTTGAGACAAGTGGGAGTTGTGCCACAGTCAGATCCACAGCGCCTTTCAGAACAGCGCGAGCTAATACAGAATAGAAGTAAGTATGGTAAGAACCAAAAATGGGATTTAGCTTATCCTGTTTTGTTTTTAAAACATGTGTATTTGATCAGCAGAGCAATAGTAGTTGCTGTCTTTATATATTATTATCACACTAGAGGCCTTGTGCATGAAATTTGTGCACTGCGGGGTTTGGGTGGGTGGGGGGGGGCACTGCCTGTGCCCTTTCACAGTCCAGGAGCCCTGCGATCAATCACCCCAAAGAGGTAGGCCCTGCCCACCCATCTGGGGTTCCTCGATGGATTGCTTCTACAGAGGGAGGCCCTGCCCACCAAGCTATCATCTTGTGGCTGTGGGCACTGCCACCTTTGAGGGCAGGGCAGTCAATTAGCATATTCCCTCCTTACTAGCTGTGGGCGCCGCCATCTTTGAGTGCGGGGCAGTCAATTAGCATATTCCCTTCTTATGGGCTGTGGGTGCCGCCATCTTTACCACGGTGTGAGGGTCAATTAGCATATTCCCTCTTTATTAGATAAGATTATTAAACTCATAGTCCTGAGATGGTGTGTGTGTGCACGAACCTGGTGGAAATGGGAACAGGTGGCCTCCTCCACACAGGTGTGCTAGGGGCAGACAGTGGCCACCCAGGCAGCCAGTTCTCCTTGCCCTCCTCAGACGGCTGCACAGGGATCAGGTTCCTCCCAGCCCCAGGCACAGGGCAAGAGGGGCTTCTTAGCTTCTAGGTCAGTGATGGCGAACCTTTTGAGCTCGGTGTGTCAGCATTTTGAAAAACCCTAACTTAACTCTGGTGCCGTGTCACATATAGAAATTTTTTGATATTTGCAACCATAGTAAAACAAAGACATATTTTTGACATTTATTTTATATATTTAAATGCCATTAAACAAAGAAAAATCAACCAAAAAAATGAGTTCGCATCTCACCTCAGACATGCGTGTCATAGGTTCGCCATCACTGTTCTAGGTGTTCCTTTGGTTGAGTCAGAAATGAATGACATGAGATGTTGAAAATAGCTCCCTTAGTTACTAAGACATGAAGGTCTTTGCTTCAGGAGAGTGGCAGCAGTCAGGGGCCAGGTTAGCCTGCTGGTTGAGGGCAGGCTCTGGAGGCAGAGAGACCTTGGCCTGGATCGAGTCCTCCTCCTACCACTCGAGGCTGAGCACAGTGTTCTGGCCAGCCCTCCGCACAGCTTGTGGTGCCAGGGCATGTCTGTTTACTTCCAGTAAAATAAGGACAGTGCACAGCCCTTTCGTCTTCCAGCAAAGGAGATGCAGGATTACTTCTGGGGCTTTTTTGAACTTTTTGAAAGGGAGAAAAAATTTGGAGTTGAGGCCTTTTAAGGAGGCTTTTTGGTTTGATTGAGATCCTTAAAAAAATGTAGTTCTCTGTACAAGGAGGAGAACTTGGGGCCAGTCTCTGGAGTGCTTAGCCTGTCATCTGTTGTGTTCTAGGCCTTTGAGCTGGCGACCGGAGATTATTTGTTTGAACCGCATTCTGGAGAGGACTATTCCAGAGACGAAGGTGAGTATTGCTGCCTGCTGGTACTGTAGTGTGGGGCTCCTGCCCACGGGTCCTGAAATCCTGGAGAGTATTATATCTTGTTCTGAAATAGAACCATGTGTTGGTGTTTGAACACCAAGTTCAGATGATTTTCTTTTTGAGCTTGAAGCCCCTTCAGTGACAGAGAATGGGCAGAGCCTCCTGGAGCGCCCTCCCTCCTGCTGCCCACAGGCGTGTGT